CAAGCATCACTTCAAATCGCTCACTAATACTGTCAGATGCAACCGCAGTGGTTTCATCAAGATCGACAATTCCGATTGCAGATGAACCCCAGGGTTGTAATTCCGCTGCAGGAGCCTGCCATCGATACGCAGACGGCAAACGTTTTAGCCGGCCGTCCAATGCTGGTGATTCGGCGACAGAATTTATGGGAGAGTCTGTCTGTATCTCAGAAAGGGTGTCGTTTTCTGCCGCCACCCAACGCGTCGCATAGGGCGCAACCCACTTAGCCAGGCCAGCGGGATTTTTACCTTCTTCACAGGTAAATGTGGTGACAAGAGATTTCACGGCTCTGGTACACGCCACATAAAGCATGCGCTTTTCTTCATTACTGGCACGAGCGCGCTCTTCAAACTTGAGCCATTCATGCACCGGGTCGCCGTTAACACCCATGAGCAAACCGGTAGCACCCGCTCGCCATAAAAGTAATTGCGGGTCATCCGCTCGCGTCCGGCTATCAAGATAAGGCAGCAGAACATGATCGAACTCAAGGCCTTTGGCGCGGTGGATAGTCATGACCTGAACCTGAGCGTTCTGATCCGAAGCTGCATACAGAGCACCCAATGCCGACTCCAGCAAGCTGTTGTCGTAAGCAGACATACCCAGATCATCAACCAGATCAAACCAGGCCAAAGCATCTTCCAAATCAGCGCGTGCGTAGGCGTCAACCCCACCGCAACGTGACCAGAAACCTTCCAGCAACTCTCGTAAAGGTATTTCGTATCTGCGCTGTTCTGCCCAGGCAATCGCTTCTAACAGGCGTGAAAGGCAGGGTATTGTTTCAAGCAGTGAGGTAAGTTGGGTGGCCACATCCAGTTTTACATCCAGCCTGGCTAACTGATCGAGCGTTAAGCCAAACAGAGGACTGCGCAGCACCGCATACCACGCCAGCTGATGAGCAGGATTAAACAGGATCTGGTGCAGGTTCATCAGATCGCGAACAACACCTCGGTTAGCGAGCAGATCCATATCGTTAGCCTGCACAGATATACCCGCATCTGCCAGTTGCTTCAGCAAAGGCACCACATGATTTCTTGCCCTGCACAGAATGGCAATTGAGCCTTCAGGATCATGATCTAAACGCTCCTGTATAGCCTGCAGCAGAAAGCGAGTTTCGTCCCGGGTGTCATTGAAAATAAGACTATCGATTGGTTTCAGCGGAGCAATCGACTGATCATCCAGCATGGCTACCGCAGGACTGAATGGTACTTCACCCAACGACGCGACGCGCCCGCCCGCAAACACGCTACTGAACAACTCATTGCACCACTCCACAACTGGGGGTGCAGAGCGAAAATTAGACTTTAACTGACGATGAATCAGGGGGGTGTCAGCAACCCCCACGGCAATACTGTCATTAAAGATGGAGACGTCAGCATCCCTGAACCTGTAAATAGATTGCATCGGGTCACCGACCGCAAAAAACGTTTTACCGTCGCCAGGCTGCCACCCTTCAATCAACATGGAGAAAAATTCGAACTGAGCTCGTGAAGTATCCTGGTATTCATCTACCAACAGATGGCAGATCTGATAGTCCAGGTACAGAGCGAGGTCGGTCGGTCCCTGTTCATCCCGCAGCGCCGCTTTGGCTGCAAGCAGAATACCAGTGAAATCAATCTGCGTAGTTTCCCGAAACACGGTCTCTAATTCAAAAACCGCCAGCGACACCCCAACACAACACAAATGCAGATTAGTTAACATCGCCTGCTCGGCGGGCGAAATGGCTTCGGGATCAAACGCTTTGGGTAACTTGGTGTAGGCAACGATCAATGGCCCCAGACCTCGAAGATCCAACTCCTCCAGCCAGATTTTGGTGCTTTTCTTCAGGCTTGCATCAGTAATATCTTCTTTGACCGTCAACCGTTTTCTCAATTCGTCTTTAGCGGTCAGCAGCCTTGGCAACAGCGCATCGCGGACGTCCTCAAGACCCCAGACGTCTGCAAGTTGTTGCAACATTGCTTCGTCAGCGGGAGTGAACTCGGCTTCAAGCTGATCCGACAACGCCTGACGTATATTTTGTATCGCCTGAGCAACCAGCTGCGCCGTCTGTGCCTGGCCCCGAGCTGTGGCCACAGCCCTGACTGGTTCAAGCCATTGGTCACGCCGCGCTAACATGAAGCTCAGTAAACGAATGGCTCTGTTAATGTCGTTGTCTAAGAATCCTAGAAATTGCGCTACTAAAGGATTCGTCTGATCTTCGCTGTACAGGCGATTGAATAACCGGTGCGCAGCACTGGCGTAATTGAGCTGTGCACGTTCCACTATTCCCAGGCCCGACGCCTGCGACAGTGATGGCACCTGACTGGCGACATCCAGGGCAAAACTATCAATAGTTTGGATTTTCAACACATTGGGGTTGGTAAAGATCTGCCACCCCAGTTCGCGATCGCGCGCAAGCACCGCAGCTGCTAGAGGGGTATCTTCAGCCAACATTTTCAAAACGCGGTGGCGCATTTCCGCAGCAGCTTTTTTGGTGAACGTGATTGCCAGAATTTCTTCCGGCCGCGCAACCTGGGTCAACAGCGCAACGTACCTTGATGCCAGCAGTGTTGTCTTACCAGAGCCCGCTGGCGCCTGAACAATAAATGATTGCCCAGGCGCCAGCACATGCTCACGCACGTCTGCATCAGGGATCTTTTTCTGCTCAGGACTCAATTTGATCTTCTATACGGCATAAATCCGCAAGGTGGCAGTATCGACAGGCACCTGTTACCGGCTCAACCTCAGCGTACCCGGCAGCAAATTCTTCAGCCAGCTGACCCAGATCGTCCTGCCAGCGCTGTCGATGGAGACGCCAGCTGTCCGCCTGCTGCAATTGCTTGGAGTATTGCGCGCCTTGTATGCGACCAGTCTCATCAGCTACTCCCAGTAAACGTGCCTGGTCTCTGATCTCAGCAAAATAAACACCAACAATTTCTGCATCTATGAGGCTGTATGCAGGCAGCTGCGGGTCACGTGTCGGACTACTTGTGATACCACTCAAGTTAACCTGGCCAGTCTTGTAATCAATAACAACCAGCCCGCCATCGATGCGATCGACGCGATCTACACGGATGGAAAACTGATAGTTGTGTAACTTCAGCACAAACGATTCCTCCAGGTAAATTGCGGCAAACGGTGCCCTGGCTGCTTCCAGTTTCAACCACCGCAGAATAAGGGTGGTCAGACGCTCAATCTCCTGCTCAACGAACAGGACAGGCAGTGGACGCGGGTAGGATTCTAACGTCTGCTGACAGGCGCGGCGGATATCAGCAGACGACAGTGTAGCCAACTGATCTTGCGTAGAGTGCCGACGCACCAGATCGAACAGCGTATCGTGTAGGAGATTGCCGCGGGTCAAGGCGTCCGGAAAACTGCTGACTTCATTGGGTTGAGTTAAACCGAGCTGGTACTGGGCAAAGGCTTTGAAGGGGCAGGTGGCCTGGGTCCGCAACAGGCCGGTCCCACCCTTAACTTCGCCCTCAGCGATTGCTGGCCCGCGAACATCAATGAAGCTTTCTAAAACAACCTCGGCATCTACAGCCCGTTGAAATGGGTTGACCGCAATGACTGGCGCCGCAGCCATTTCCGGAAAGTCGCTGATAAGAGGGCTGGGCAACTGATCATGTTGCTGTGACTGGGCGCTGAAACTCAGTACCAGCTTTCCTGCATGGGTACGCCAGTGTGTGAGTCGACGCTGCGCAAATGCTAATTCATCAGCCTGGCTTGCTCGCGGCACACCAGCAGCGTGAGCCACCCGCCTGGGAATAAAAGGATGCGCCACGTTTTTTACCGGAAAGCTGTTTTCGTCCAGACCACAGACCCATAAATGGGAAAAGCTTAAACCGGTAGTTTCCAGTTCGCCGAGCACCAGGATGTCCGCGTGGGGCCTTTCCGGCGCAAAAACCTGGGATCCAAGTGATGCGCTTAACAGACTTAACATCTGTGTAAACGTCATCTCCTGTGCAAGGCTATCCAGAGTGTACTGATTAAAAGCCTCTTCGAGACTTTGATAAGCCTGGAAACTTGTCGAACCCAGGGTATTCAACTGTGGCCATCCACATGCCGTCAGCAACGCGCGGCATTGCACCAACCAATACCCGAAAGTGTGCACGCCCGATATATCCAGACGAACGTCCTGCTCAGGCAGTATTCGCTGCAAAATATCCTTCAGTGAAACAGACAGATGCCAGTGTCCGGGCCAATGCATGGCTAACTCAGTCAGCCCGGACAGATCAAAAAACTGCGAACTGCCAAGCTCTGCACAAACTTCAGGACTGAACCCATCTCTGCAGGCATGCAACAATTGACTGGCGTGACGCCACAGAGGCTGATCGGATAACGCAAGACCTGCCGACAGATCAAACGTCTGAGTTAAGCTGCCCCGCTGAGGGTCAAGGATTGCCGCTACCTGACGTTGCACTCGAGCATAGTTCTGCGCAAGATTCGGAACGACGATGCCAACCGTAGCTGTGGAGTCATTTGCTTTGGCGCTAAGGGCCCAGCTCGCGGCAGCCGCTAATTCATCATTAAGATTTTCATAAGAGGTGACTTCGGGTAAGCAGCCGGATGCCTTTTCCAAGCCTGACGCCTGTGACTCGCCCATGTTTAAAGCGGGCCACAATTGCGACACCTCGATACCACTGTTACACACGCGTACCGCAAGCTCCCGCGCGACAAAATCGAAATAGCGGCGTTCAACCGCCGTTAACTGCTCAAAATCCAGCAGTAATAGAGGCTGCCGAGGCAAAACACGATGGGTACACAGATAATCCCCCAGCGTTTCGGGCAGCACCTTATCCTCGGGTAAGGCCTGCTGTACCGTATGAAACCATTGCCGGAACAGTTCGCCCTGAACCGTCGAAAAAGCTGCACCCTGCAGATCAATATCGAAGCGATGAATGAGCTGCCAGGCGCTACAGAACGCATCCACCTGATTCAGGCTGGGTAACGGCGCGCTTAAGAACGCAGCCTCGCGCAGCGCATGAACACTGAGCAGTTTTGCAGCCGCGCCATCTATTTGATCAACGTGATCGCTTAGTTGCTGCAGGAGAAAACGCTGCAGACTCATACAGGTTAAACCGACCCAGGCAAGCTTACCCTGTTGCATCTGATACTGATCAAAAGCCAGCTTGAATTCACGCGCGAGCCGTTCGTTAGGTGTGATAACCGTATGCCGCGTCGCCAGATCAGCAAGGGTGGGTGATATTTGTACAAAAGACTTCGACACTGCGGGATTGTAGCCTAACTCCACCGTGCTGAGCTAAACTCGCGCGCCCTGCAACCCTAAAGAAGAGTCTCACCTGTGAAAGAAACGTTGAATAAACGGCGCGTCAGCTTTGTCAGCCTCGGCTGTCCGAAAGCGCTGGTGGACTCAGAGCAGATCATCACAGAGCTCCTGGATAACGGCTGCGACATCGTTGCAGCAGAGGAACCCTCAGAAGTCACCGTAATCAACACCTGCGGCTTTATCGACACGGCAAAAGCGGAAAGCTTCGCTACCATCGAGCAGGCTCTGACGGAACAGCGGGAGGTGATAGTAACCGGCTGCCTTGGCGCCCAGCGTGATGAGTTGCTGGAACGTTTTCCCCAGCTCAAGTTTGTCTCGGGTCCTGCGGACGTCGCACCTGTTATCGCTGCCGTGGAACATTTTGTGCCGGCCAAACGGCAGGCAAAACCATCGCCGAGGGAAGTACGTGAACGCTTGACCCCGGCTCACTATGCCTACCTTAAAATTTCTGAAGGCTGTAATCATACGTGCAGCTTCTGCGTCATTCCGGATATGCGGGGTAAGCTGCGCTCCAGACCCATCGACAGTGTTCTGCACGAGGCAAACGCACTGGTAGCCCAGGGGACCAAAGAGCTGTTGGTGGTTGCCCAGGATCTGAGCGCGTATGGTGTTGACCTCAAATACGCCAGTGCTGACGTTGATGGCGAGGTACTACAGGCGAAGCTCGATGTGTTGTGTGATGCCCTGGGCGATATTGCACCCTGGGTTCGCCTGCATTACGTCTATCCGTATCCTAGCGTGGATCATCTGATTCCTCTGATGGCGGAAGGAAAGATTCTGCCTTATCTCGACATTCCTCTGCAGCATGCGTCACCCAAAATACTCAAAGCCATGCGTCGGCCGGCGGCGGCGGAAAAAGCCCTGGAACGCATTAATCGATGGCGGGAAATCTGCCCGGAGCTGGCCATTCGCAGCACTTTTATCGTCGGCTTTCCCGGGGAAACCCCTGACGATGTTGGTCTCCTCCTGGATTTTCTGGAAGAGGCACAACTCGATCGCGTCGGCTGTTTCACTTATTCAAGCGTCGACGGCGCACGGGCTAATGCCCTGGAAGACCCGATTGACGAGGTTGATAAACTGGACCGACAGGAAATGGTGTACGAACTGCAGGCCAATATTTCAGCAGCCCGCTTGAATCGACACATTGGACAGGAGCTGCAGGTGATCGTCGACGAGGGCGGGCAGAACGCTGAAGGAATTGCCATTGGTCGTTCAAAATACGACGCGCCGGAAATTGATGGCACCGTGCATATCTCTGGTGCTAAAGGATTACGAGCGGGTGAGTTTGCACAAGTGAAAATTGACCGTCACGACGACCATGACTTATACGGTCACTGGATCGGTCAGCCTATCCGGATTCATTAGCATCGGCTGACAAAGTGTGCTGTTGTGCTACCTGTTGAGCCCAGTCCGCGCTAAAATAAGGCCATCACGATGGTAATCGAACCTTTAAACCCCCTAAGCACGGAAAACAATATTTATGTGGCATCTGATAGAAGATTTTTTTGACCAGAACATTGTCATGAAAGGCATGCTTGGTTTTGGCTGGCTTTGTGTTCTGGTGATGATTGCCAGTCTTGGCGTCAGCATCATTGGCTTGATACAGGGCTAAACTGATGTGGTTATCCACGTTGAGCGAGGCGCAGCGCATAGCCCTGCTTGGGTTGGCGCATAATGTCGTGGTGTCGGATGGCCTTCTGGACCCCAATGAAGAAGGTATGCTGGAACAGCTGCGTCGGGAAATGGGTATTGATACAGGACACGAACTGGATTACCTGGAACTCGACGGCATTTCACAGATTTTCTCGACTCGCCCGGTAAGGGTGGTTGCTCTGTTAAATCTGCTCAAACTCAGCTACGCCGATGGCGCATTCGAAGTAGAAGAAGAATGTTTGCTGAAAGAAATCAGCAGCACCTTCAACATCCCGGATGACGAGTTTCTGCTGTTGGATAACTGGGTGAAACGCCTGATCAGCCTTGAAAACGAAGCCGAAAGCCTGATTAACGCCTGATCCCTGTCAGAATGACTGCCCAGCCGTCACTGTGCGGAACGCCCGGCACTCATCGCCACAAATTGATCTTCCAGCAACTGTAATCGCACATTTGTTTCTAACTGTTCCGACTGCTGAGCGGTCCTGAACTGAATTCCACAACGATAACCAGCCTGCAGCGCAACACAATTGTGCACGATACCCGCCACGTTCTGAATCTGAGTATCGCCAAAGCCGAGAGAGATGTAGACCTTTGAATCTTTAGCGAGGGCCTGATTAAGCAGGAGTGCAATGCCATGACGATTGAAATCTTTAGCCAAGCCCTGCAAATGCAGGAGGCCACCTTTTTTCCGCACACTCACAACTAACCCATCCGCTGGATAGCGGCTTTTGAGTCGGCGTTCTGCTAGCGCAAAATAAGGCATGCTGCCAGATTAATGACAAAGGCGCGCTAAAGAAGTGAAGTGTGCCGCAATCTGAAAACGTGTTTAAGACAATTCTTTGAGCAGTACACGCTTTGCCTCGTTCAACTGCTGGGCAAGCACCTGCGATCCGCCTTTATCGGGATGCACACGCTGCATGAGACGGCGATGGGCAGCGATCACAGCTTCTGCGGTCAGAGGGCCATCGTCCATACCTAAGACGCCGCGCGCCTGTTCTGTGTCCATCAGGTTCTGAGGATTTTTCGGACGAGGTCGACGGCTTTGGCCGCGGGTGCGACTGAGATAAGCAACGCCAACAAGCAACATGAAGACAAGCCCGGCAAACAGTAAGATTTTCAAAAGCACATTACACCAACTGCAGAAGAACGTATCATGCCACGGTTTTCAAACGGCACTAACAACCTGACGTGGACCAGATCGAATTACAGGGATGGTTGGATGAACTTCGCATTGAGCACCGCGATTTAGACGTTGTGATCAAACACCTGATTGATGGTCAACATCACGATGGACTGCGCATTGCTCGATTGAAACGACGCAAGCTGAAACTTAAAGATATGATCAGTAAACTGGAAAGCGAACTGATACCGGATCTCGACGCATGAACTCAACAGGCAAACCCCTGACGGTTGCCATTTCGTCAACCGCATTATTTGATCTGACAGAGTCTAATGACATCTACGTTGAACAGGGTCTGGAAGCGTATCGGCGCTATCAGATCGCCCAGGAAGACGCTATCCTGGAACGCGGAGACGGTTACTACCTGGTTGAAAAACTCCTAAATATCAATAAGTTACTCGAAAAACCTAGAGTGGAAATCATTCTTCTTTCGCGTAATTCAGCAGACACTGGTCTGCGTGTGTTCAACTCCATTCGCGCATACGACCTGAGCATCACACGTGCCGCTTTCTGCGGCGGGCAATCTCCTTATCGTTACATCAACGCATTTCAGTGTGACCTGTTTCTGTCGACCTACGCTGAAGATGTTCGCCAGGCCCTGGAACAGAATGTGGCCGCCGCTCAACTCATGGGCCGCTACCGGGGGCACAACCCTAATCGGGCAAGTTCAGAGCTGAAACTGGCTTTTGACGGTGATTCAGTGCTGTTCTCTGATGAAGCGGAGCAGATTTATCAGAGTGATGGTCTGGCGGCATTCAGCGCGTCGGAACACAGCCAGGCTCAGGAGCCGCTGGGCGGAGGACCATTTAAAGCCTTTCTCGCCGCCCTGCACGAACTGCAGAAGGAATTCCCGGAAGGCGCTAATCCGATACGCACAGCCCTGGTCACAGCGCGCAGCGCGCCGGCACACGAGCGGGTTATTCGAACCCTCAGAGATTGGGACATACGCCTGGACGAGTCTCTGTTTCTCGGAGGCATGGATAAGACCCAGTTCCTGCAGGCTTTTGAAGCTGACATTTTCTTTGATGACCAATCCGCCCATTGTGAACGCGCCGCCGATTATGTGGCCACCGGCCATGTCCCGCATGGGGTCATCAACAAGTGATCACAGCTTCTTAACCATAGCGCTGTATTCAGCTGTTGAGTTATGCTGAGAGCCTTTCTTATAACTCAGTAGCATGTCCCCATCGGGAGGGTCTGATGAAGTTGCAGCAGTTACGGTATATCTGGGAGGTTGCCCATCACGACCTGAACGTGTCCGCCACCGCCCAGAGTCTGTTCACATCACAACCGGGTATCAGCAAACAGATACGTCTGCTGGAGGACGAACTTGACGTCGAGATATTCGCTCGCAGCGGCAAACATCTCACCCATGTCACTCAGGTTGGCGAAGAAATCATTGCCATGGCGGGCAACATTCTGCGTCAGGCAAACGCCATCAAGCAGGTTGCCCAGGAATACTCCAACGAAAAAGAGGGCAGCCTGTCGATTGCAACCACGCACACCCAGGCACGTTACGCGTTACCACCCGTCATCCGCGAGTTCAGACAGACTTACCCGGATGTCAGTTTGCACATGAATCAGGGGTCCCCGGAGCAGATATCAGAATTGGCCGCATCCGGGGAAGTTGATTTTGCCATCGCCACCGAAGGGCTCGAACTGTTTCACGATCTGATCATGATGCCTTGTTATCGATGGAATAGAGCCGTTGTTGTACCAAAGGACCACCCCCTGTGCGCAGATTCGGTTCTGACCCTGGAGGCCCTCGCGCGCCATCCAATTGTGACTTACGTGTTTGGTTTTACCGGCCGCTCAAAACTGGACGATGCATTCAACCAGGCCGGACTGACCGCTAACGTCGTGTTTACAGCCACCGACACGGACGTTATCAAAACCTATGTGCGGCTTGGGCTGGGCGTAGGTATTATTGCGCAGATGGCATACGAGCCATCGATAGACAGCGACCTGGTGGTGCTGGATGCATCTCATCTATTTGCCTCCAGCGTGACTCAAATCGGCTTTCGCAAAGGTACTTTCCTGCGCCGCTACATGCTCGATTTTATAGCAGGCTTTGCACCCCACCTGGATACGGAAATGGTCCAGCAGGCCGTGGCGTGTGGTACACGCAAAGAACGTGAGGCTTTGTTCGATACGTTGTCATTGCCCGTCAAATAACCCGCAAAACAGTTAGGAAAAAAGAACTTTGGATATCTTGTGTTTAGATTTGGAAGGCGTGCTTGTACCTGAAGTATGGCAAGCAGTAGCACGTTCAACAGGTATAGAGGCTTTACAGAAAACCACCCGGGACATTCCGGTTTACGATGACCTCATGCAGTACCGCCTGAATATCCTCGCGGAGCACGATATCAAGCTGTCCGCCATTGAAGCCGAAATCGACAAACTGGACCCTTTACCTGGCGCCAAAGCGTTCCTCGATTGGGCGCGAACACACTTCCAGGTTGCTATCATCTCGGATACTTTTTACGAATTTGCCGGGCCTTTAATGGCAAAACTCAATCAGCCTATGCTGCTTTGCCACAAACTCGACATCGTCGACGACCGAATTCAGAATTACCAGATCCGTCAACCCGACCCAAAACGATGTTCCGTGAAAGCTTTCAAATCTCTGCAATATAAAGTTTTTGCCGCAGGAGATTCGTTTAACGACATCACCATGCTTGAGGAGGCGGACCACGGCTTTTTCTTTCAAGCACCACAAGCCATCTGCGATCAGTTTCCGCAGTATAAAAAAGCTGATACCTATGAAGAGCTCAAAGCTTTTTTAGTTGCCCACCAGGGCAGCTGATTCAAAGGGTTAGATCCGCAGCAGACGCAAATTAGGATCTTCTCTGCTTTTACGCCAGGCTTCTGCAAAAGTTTCATTCAGCCGTTTTACTGTTACAGGATTATTGAGATCCGCAATACCCTGGTGCTTCTCAAAACTCGGCAGTAGCCAGTATGCATCCAGGTCAGCACAGACAAAGCTGGACGATGTACCCGTCGGTGTTTCATCCAGCAAACGTATGGTTATTTTCTGATCCAACCTGCGCGCGAGTTCCAGCAATCTGTGGCCACGCTCAACCATCAGTTGACTGTTGAAGATCAGTATTTCGATTTCCACCCGGGGTGCGCTGCGCGCAAGTGCTGAAACGGCTTGGGCAATGTGTTCCCGGTCAAACAACTCGTGGTCCAGATAAGGACTCAATATCAACAGGCGACGTCGGGCACTTGCGATCACCCGTTCCAATGCCTGTAAACAGTCGCTGTAACCTTCAAAAAAATCCGCTTTGCTGACCGAACGGGTTGGCGGATCGGCTGTATGCCCTGAATCAGGTGACACTTTCTTAGCGGGCAGATCTGCAGGCGGTTCAAACGGCAACGGTAATTTCATTTCCATGGCAATGTGCGCAATGCCTGCTTCAGTAAACGCTTGTCCATAAGGCAAAAATCCCCCCTGACGATAAAAGGGTTCTGCATAACTCTGTGCATGCAAAAACAATCGCTCAAAACCAGCAGCCTTACCCGCGGTTACCGCCGCTTCCAATAGCGCATTTCCAATGCCTTTGCCGCGATGTGACTTGAGCACCGCCATACGCCCAATCTGACCACTTTTCAGCAAACGTGCACAACCAATAAACTGACCCAGACTGTTCACCGCCAGAAAATGCGTCGCTGTTTCATCCTCATCATCCCACTCAAGCTCGCGCGGAACTTCCTGTTCAACGATAAATACGTCTTCGCGGATCGATCGCAATGTTTGTTTATGCTGATCCCAGGAGGCGGTAACAACGTGCACATCGAGCGCCATAGTAAATACCTGTTAGAAGGGTAGGGGTTGCCGAGCAAGTTTTGCAGCCAGACCCAGATATACATCTGGAGTGAGGGCGCGCAGCTCCTCCCGGGCCACAGGCGGCAGGTCCAGGGTATCAATCAATTGCCGGTATACAGCTTCATCAATCTGTTGGCCACGGGTCGCAGCCTTTAGTTTTTCATAGGGTTCACTGAGACCATATTTACGCATGACTGTCTGTACAGGTTCGGCTAACACCTCCCAACTGCTTGTCAGATCGCGCGTAATCGCCTGGCTGTTAACCTGCAAACGGGACAATCCTTTGAGTGTCGCCTGATAGGCAATCAGACAATGGGCGAAGGCTGAACCGATGTTACGTAGTACTGTGGAGTCAGACAGGTCTCTTTGCCATCGGGACACGGGCAATTTGTTAGCCATATGTTCGAGCAGTGCATTGGCAAGGCCGAGGTTACCCTCAGAATTTTCAAAATCGATGGGATTTATCTTGTGCGGCATTGTCGATGACCCGGTTTCGCCTTCAACTTTCTGCTGGGTGAAATACTCAATAGCGATATAGCTCCACATATCCCGATTGAAATCGAGTAACACCTGATTAAATTGGGTCAGGGTATGGAACAGTTCCGCGAGATAGTCGTGAGGCTCAATTTGCGTTGTCCAGGGATTATTGGTCAAACCCAGACTTTCAACAAAATTCGCTGAGAGCGCAGCCCAGTCACACTCGGGGTAGGCACTCAGGTGGGCGTTGAAGTTACCTACCGCGCCATTAAACTTTGCCAGAATAACCGTCTGCTGGCAGTGTCGCACCTGTCTTAACATGCGAACAGCAACGTTTTTGAACTCTTTGCCCAAGGTTGTCGGTGATGCGCTCTGGCCATGCGTGCGAGACAACATCCCCAGCTCCGCATGTTCAACGGCGAGCCCATCAAGGGTTTGCACAAGCTTCATCATCTGTGGAACCAGCACCTGCTCACGAGCTTGTTTCACCATCAAAGCATAAGCGACATTGTTTATGTCTTCAGATGTGCAGCCAAAATGGATCCATTCAACGTATGGCACCAGGGCATCATTCTGGCTGAGTTGCGCTTTAACGTAGTATTCAACTGCTTTAACGTCGTGGTTGGTGGTTGCTTCAAAGTCTTTGATGGCCTGGGCAGCCTGCAGATCAAAACCCTCGATGATATCGACCACAAATTTCTCGTCCTGGGCGCTTAAAGCAGGCAGTTCCAGGATATCGCTGTGATGGCTGAGAAACACAAACCATCGGCATTCCACTTCGACGCGGTAACGCATCAGTCCAAATTCGCTGGTTAATTTTGCCAACGGCTCTACTTTGCTGCGGTAACGACCGTCTGTAGCGCTGACGGCGAGGAGGGGGTCAATTGACATATAGGGCTCTACTTTAGTTTCAGACTGATATCACAGGAATTAATACGCGCGCCGCCCAGCATAATGTCACCATTATAAAAAGCGACAAACTGGCCTGGCGTTATGGCGCGTTGTGGCTCGGCAAACTTTACCAACAAATCCCCGTCTGCTGCCGGGTAGACAACACACGCCTGATCTGCCTGGCGGTAACGAATTTTGGCGTGGCAGGCCAACGGAAAGCTCACGCAAGCTAGCCAGTTCACATCACCTGCGCGTAGCCAGCTGCCCTCCAGGACCTTGGGATCTTGTGTAACCACAAGCGTATTGGTGGCGGGCTGCTTGCCCGCCGCATACCAGGGCGCCTCGGACCGGCCCTTTACACCACCGATATTCAAACCCTGGCGCTGCCCCAGCGTATATTGATGCAAGCCTCGGTGTTCGCCGATGAGACGACGGTTCTCATCCACCATGGGACCGGCGTTGTCTTCGATATAACGTTTAAGAAAATCCGCAAAACGTCGTTCGCCGATAAAACAGATGCCGGTGCTGTCTTTGCGGGCGTGGTTGTGCAATCCAAGCTCAGCGGCCATCGCGCGAATATCCTGCTTCTGCCAGTTGCCTAACGGGAAAAGACATTTACGTAACTGGGAGGAGGGCACAGCCTGCAAAAAATAACTTTGATCTTTACTCGCGTCGATACCTTTGCGCAGTGCAAAGGTGCCGTTATCGTAGGTGCCACGCGCGTAGTGTCCTGTTGCTATCCAGTCACCGCCCAGATGTTCCGCATAGTTTACGAACTGCTTGAATTTGATTTCCCGATTACACAATACGTCCGGGTTCGGCGTACGCAATGCTTTGTAATCCTGCAGGAAGTCCGCAAAAACATTATCCCAGTACTCTGCCGCAAAATTTGCGGTATGCAGCGGGATATTCAGAGTGTCACAGACTTTTTGTGCATCTGCCAGATCTTGCAGCGCTGTACAGTATTCGGTGCCATCGTCTTCATCCCAGTTTTTCATGAACAGACCCTCGACCTGATAACCCGCCTGCAGCAACAGATGGGCGGCAACAGAAGAGTCGACACCACCAGACATGCCCAGAATGACACGCTGATTTTTTTGCGGTACCTGATTATGGTCGGTGACTGGCGTCTTCATAACAACATCGGAAAAAAAGCGGCAGGTATTCTATCACCTTGTACATCTCAGGCAGAATTTCGATACTACTGTGTCAGCCTGTTTAAGTAGCCTGCACCCCGATGGATAGAGCGTCACAGTGGTAATCAGGCATAATAGGCAGGATAAGCATCAGGCACCTCGAGTATGACAGAACCCTCATTCAGCCACGTAAACGCTGCGGGCGAAGCCAATATGGTGGATATCTCCGGCAAAACGGTAACCGCAAGGCGAGCGGTGGCTACCGCCGTGATTCACATGCAGCCGGAAACCCTGCGGGCAATAGAATCTGATGCCTTAAAAAAGGGCGAGGTTCTGGCTGTTGCCAGAGTGGCCGGTATTCAAGGGGCCAAACGTTGTGCAGACCTGATTCCCTTGTGTCATCCGCTGCCGCTGACAAAAGTGCAGATTGATTTTACGCGCCTCACCGACACACAACTGCACATCGAGGCTCAATGTACAGTGGAGGGCAAAACAGGTGTCGAAATGGAGGCATTGACCGCCGCCAGCATTGCCGCGCTGACCGTTTATGACATGTGCAAAGCCATCGACAAAACCATGATGATTTCGGACCTGTGCGTGCTGGAAAAACAGGGTGGCAAAAGCGGAGACTGGCACCGCAACGACGTGATGCCAGCATGAGCCAGATCAAAGTACTTTTTTTTGCCTCTCTGCGCGAGCAAATAGGAATCGGTGAACTGACCCTGAAGGCGGGGAACCTGGCGGAACTCTTTGCGCAGATCGAAATTCAGCTTGGCAATCAGGCGCTGCAGACTTTAAAAGCAGAAAACATCCGCATCGCTGTAAATCAGGACCTTATCGACAATGAGACCACGCTCAGCGAAGGTGATGAAGTGGCTTTCTTACCGCCGGTAACCGGGGGTTAGGCATGCAGCGTTCTGTGATCATTCAAACCGAAGACTTCGATGCCTCCGGCTTGGTGCAAGCCATGCGGGCGCAACATGGCGCTCAAATCGGCGCGCTGGTGACATTTACCGGCCTGGTCCGGGAGCAGAACCTGGTTACCGGCGACAATTCAGCGGTTGCCACGTTAACCCTTGAGCACTATCCGGGTATGACTGAGCGCAGTATTCACAAAATCATTGATCAGGCCGAGACGCGCTGGCCCTTGCTGGATGTCTGCGTGGTGCATCGCGTTGGCACGCTTGCACCCACTGAACAGATCGTTTTTGTAGCCGTGGCGTCAGCACATCGAGATACGGCCTTTGCGGCAGCCGAATTTGTTATGGATTATCTTAAGACCAGGGCCGTTTTCTGGAAACGGGAGCAGACCGAAAAGGGAACGCACTGGGTTGAATCTGCCGAAGCAGACCATACGCGCGCCCAACAGTGGCAGACAGACCCCTGATTGCTTAACCGGGCCCTCTAACCAGACGAGGCGCCCGGGGTACCAACTGCAGCTTCAGCAGCACCGTTAGACAGTTCTTCAGAACCACTATTGTCTAGATCAAAGTCCACCGAAACGCCGCCCACTTCGCCGTTAGCCGACGCGTGGCCTTCTACATCCTGGATATTTACCGCGTGCAGCCCTTTGGGGCCTTCAACAACCTCGAACTGAATTTCCTGCCCAGCTTTCAGCGTTTTATAGCCGTCCATCTGAATCGCAGAGTAGTGTATGAAGAGATCTTCACCACCACTGTCCGGTAGTACAAATCCGTACCCTTTGGCGTTGTTAAACCACTTTACCTTACCAATTGCCATGACGACTGCCCTCCCAAGCAGTTACTGCATCAGAACCTGCCGAGCCTGACTTGCACAGGTGCTCGTCGTCATGCGATTTCACACGCCAACCGGTTCTGACTCTCACTTGAGTGTCGGCAGAGACACTGCCGAACCCCCCTCAATGCCGGACTTTGGTCAAAAACTTCAATAGAGTCAAGGTGTTTGCGGCACGCGGGATTCACGCTGAAGGTGCCAGCGCCCCCTTGAAATAGCCCGATTTCACCCCATCTAAGTTCTTGTAGGAACATCGGTTCAAAGCGAAAGACACCCTAGATAAAGAACGGTTATGATGTTTACGCGAATTGCTGCACGGGTTTGTTTTTCCGTCAAACATGTTTACCAGGGCACATGCCAGGGTCCGGATAAAGACAATGCAGCAAAGTTAAATAGAAAGAACTATAAAGCGTAAGGATGGACTAACCTTAATATGACAGTGCGAAATCACGGTCCCGGATACTGGTGGTACCTGCGAAGCTGGGCCCAGGGCAGCGAACAAATGTCCTCGAGCGACGATGAAGGCGGCGACGGCATCGACCAGGACCGAGACCAGGGGCTGGCTACCGCCACCTCCAAGCCCGAGTTAAAACGACCGCCGATGTACAAGGTCTTATTGCACAACGACGACTACACACCGATGGAGTTTGTGGTACACATTCTGGAGCAGTTTTTTGCGATGAACCGAGAAAAAGCGACCCAAATCATGCTGACTGTGCACACCGAGGGCGCAGCCACCGTAGGCATATTTCCGCGAGATATCGCGGAAACCAAATCTGAGCAAGTCAATCAATATGCTCAGGAAAACAACCACCCTTTAATTTCCACAGTCGAGATGACCGACTAGGCACCAACTAAAAGCGAGTTCCATGTTAAGCAAAGATTTAGAAACGACGCTGAACGAAGCCTTTCGTGTCGCAAAAAGTAAACGTCATGAGTTCATGACCGTCGAACATCTGCTGCTGGCGTTACTAGACAACGATATTGCTATCGATGTTTTACGTAAGATCGGCGCGGATCTCGACAAATTGCGCACTGATCTGGACCAGTACATCGATTCAACCACGCCGCTGATTCCCGCCGGGGACAATGACCGTGAAACCCAGCCAACGCTTGGTTTCCAACGGGTCCTGCAACGGGCGGTTTTCCACGTACAGAGCTCCGGGCGCAAAGAAGTGACCGGGGCTAACGTCCTGGTAGCCATTTTCAGCGAACAGGAAAGTCAGGCCGTTTACTTCCTTAAACAGCAGAATATTGCCCGAATTGATGTCGTGAATTACATCTCTCACGGCATCAGCAAAGTGCCGGGTGAAGAAGGCAGCAGCGAGGATATGCCTGCTGGGGAAGAGGAAGGTGGGGCGGAAGGCAGCGGCCAGAGCGCACTGGCCTCATTCGCAACCCATTTGAATGAAGAAGCCAGAGCAGGGCGCATTGACCCATTGATTGGTCGCAACGATGAACTGGAGCGTGTGATCCAGGTGCTGTGCCGGAGACGCAAAAACAACCCTCTGCTGGTAGGCGAATCAGGCGTGGGTAAAACCGCGATTGCTGAGGGTCTGGCCAAACGTATTGTCGACGGCGCAGTACCTGAGGTTGTGGCTGATGCACAAATCTACTCTCTCGATCTTGGTGCGCTGTTAGCCGGTACCAAATATCGAGGCGATTTTGAAAAACGCTTCAAAGCCGTTTTAGCCGAGCTGAAAAAAGAAGAAGGCTCTATCCTTTTCATAGACGAAATACACACTATTATCGGCGCTGGCGCTGCTTCGGGTGGCGTCATGGACGCATCGAATCTGCTCAAGCCGTTACTGACCTCTGGCCAGATTAAATGTATGGGTTCAACGACCTATCAGGAATATCGCGGCATCTTCGACAAAGACCGCGCACTGTCGCGTCGCTTTCAGAAAATCGATGTGAACGAGCCAGACGTGGAAGATACCTACCGCATCTTAAAAGGCCTGAAGTCTCGTTTCGAAGATCACTATAGTGTGCGCTTCACTGATAAAGCCCTGCGCACCGCCAGCGAGCTGGCCGCAAAGTATATCAATGATCGTTTCATGCCTGACAAAGCCATAGACGTGATTGATGAAGCCGGCGCTGCCCAGCAGCTACTGCCACCCAGCAAACGCAAGAAAAGTATTGGCGCAAGCGACGTCGAACAAGTGGTTGCTAAAATTGCACGTATCCCGTCCGCCCAGGTGACTACTTCAGACAAACAGGCGCTGAAAGACCTCGACGAAAAACTCAAAATGGTTGTATTCGGCCAGGACGAAGCCATTGATCAACTGGCAACGGCGATCAAAATGTCCCGCGCTGGTCTGAAAGCTGGCGACAAACCCACCGGTTGTTTCCTCTTTGCAGGCCCAACTGGCGTCGGTAAGACAGAAGTGTCCCGCCAGCTGGCCAACATCATGGGTGTCGAGCTACTGCGTTACGACATGTCGGAATACATGGAACGTCATACGGTGTCTCGCCTGATTGGCGCACCACCTGGATATGTTGGTTTTGACCAGGGTGGCCTGCTCACTGAAGCCGTTACCAAACATCCCCACAGCGTTGTATTACTGGATGAAATTGAAAAAGCGCATCCAGAAGTATTCAACCTACTGCTACAGGTCATGGATCACGGCACGTTAACTGACAACAATGGTCGCAAAGCTGATTTCCGCAACGTTGTTCTGGTCATGACGACAAACGCCGGCGCCCAGGAAATGGATCGTTCATCCATCGGTTTTGTCGAGCAGGACAACACCACCGACGGCATGGAAGTGATCAAACGCATGTTCACGCCGGAATTCCGCAACCGCCTGGACGCCATTGTGCAATTCGGTGCGTTACCGCTGGAAGTCGTGAAAACTGTTGCAGATAAGTTCCTGACCGAACTGCAGGCACAACTCGACGACAAGCGCGTCACCTTGGAAGTCGAAGATGAAGCTCTTGAGTGGCTGGCGCGAGAGGGTTACGACGAAAAAATGGGAGCACGACCCATGCAGCGTCTGATCCAGGACAAAATCAAACGCAAGCTGGCTGAAGATCTCCTGTTTGGCGACCTTTCAAAGGGTGGTGGAACGGTAAGAATTACTGTGGAAGACAATGACATTGCGCTGGAAATACTCAGCCCGATTGAGGCCTGAGCGTCCAGCGCTCTTTCAGCAAGCAGGCAGCAAAAGCCTGCTTAGAGGTTTACATGCGGAAAGTGATGCGCCCCTTACTGAGATCGTATGGGGTCAACTCTACCTTAACCTTGTCTCCGGTTAAGATGCGGATGTAGTTTTTACGCATCTTGCCGGAAATATGGGCCGTTACCACATGGCCATTGTCCAACTCTACTCTGAACATCGTGTTCGGTAGCGTGTCAACGACGGTGCCGTCCATTTCAATCTGTTCTTCTTTTGACATGCAGTGTCACAGGCCTTCTAGTTTTTGAAGGCGCGCATTCTGCCCCAATGCGTACACAAAGGCAAAGTACCGAAATCCGCTCGCATTCGCGTGCGGAGTTCGGGGCGAGTATCCGAACGGATACTCGCACAGCCCTCTCCATGATTCAGGTCATCAGAACCCAGCGATTGTTAACAAACAATTCCGTTGGCCGGTACTGAGTTTTATAGTTCATCTTGTCACAATCTTTGATCCAGTAACCCAGATACAGATAGGGCAGGCCAAGCTCCTGACACAGCTCGATCTGTTTCAGAATGCTAAGCACACCCAGGCTGCGTGCCTCTTCATTAGGCTCAAAAAAAGTATAAATAGCAGAGAGTCCACGCGGCTGTTCATCTGTGACCGCCACACTCAAGAGCCGCTCGCCATCATACAGGCAGACGAAGAGACTGTTACTCCATGGACTCAGGAGAAATGAGCGGTATTGATCTTCGCTGGCGGGATACATATCACCATCTGTATGCCTCAGGCTGATGTAGCGTTCATACAGATGATAGTGACGTTTGCTGAATGTCGCGGCTTCAAGGCGCACGTGCAGATCGCTGTTCTTCTTCAGGACCCGTTTCTGCGAGCGTCTTGGCGTGAACTGCTCAACCGGCACGCGGGTCGGCACACAGGCCCGGCAACTGCCACAATGTGGCCGATAGAGGTGACTCCCGCTGCGGCGGAAACCCTGGTCCGTGAGGTTCTGGTAAATCTGTGGTGAGACGACTTCGCGCGGATCAAAAAACAGAGTCTGCGCGTTATTGCGATCCAGATAGGAACAAGGGTGTTTCGGCGTCAAGAAAAACTGCACCTGATCGGAATTGGAATCCTGCATACCCAAAAACTGCTCGCACTACGCTTAACTTAGACTAGCAGCCTGCTGGTCGCGCTGCCAGGGACCCTGACGCGTCGGGTGTTGTTCATTGTCGACCAGCACTGCCAGAAACTCATCGCGAGGCATGCTGTGTACTCCGAGGCTGGCAAGATGCGGGTTCATAATCTGGCAATCAATCAGTTCAAATGCCCACTCTGCAAGCGTGTCCTGCAACACAAAAAACGCGATTTTTGACGCGTCTTTCTCTCGCGCAAACATCGATTCGCCAAAAAACAGCTTGCCCATGGAAACACCATACAATCCACCCACCAGTTTGTCTTCGTGCCAGACCTCAACCGAATGCGCGTACCCGGCATGATGCAGATCACTATAAGCGGCAGACATTTTTGGTGTGATCCAGGTACCGTGCTGATCATCACGCGGGCCACTGCAACCTGCCACAACCGCGTTAAAATCCAGATCGAAAGTCACCTCAAAGCCGCTGTTACGGATCCGCTTTGACAGACTGCGTGTCAGGCGCATGGCACCGGGCTTAAGGACAGCACGCTGCGCCGGACTCCACCACAATATGTGATCGTCATCTGAATCGAACCAGGGGAAGATACCCTGACTATAGGCACACAAAAGCCATTGCACACTCAATCCTCCGCCTGCCGCGACAAGACCATCGGGTTCCGCAAGCGCATAATGCGGATCCGGAAATGCGACGGGCGATGAGGGCAGCAGGGGAATTGCGGTCAATGGAAAAACTCAGCGTCGCAGCAGTTGCACAAACTCCGCTGACTTGGCATGACTGGCAATGACGTCGACCAGCGCCCGACCATCCCGTCCTGGGGCATTGACGTCGCGGCCCTGAGCTTTGAACTTCTGCAGAAAGCGCTCAAAGTCTTCCACCCGCATGCTGCGATAGGCGTGTAACAGCACGCTGAACTCAGCCTCTTCGGCGCCCATTGGACCTTTGCCCAGGAAACTTTCGATACGGGCATCATCCCATACCTCATCTACTACTTTGGCTTTGTCTGCACGCATGTCTTGTCGTTCTGCTCTTGTTCAGGAAGAAGACGCTATTGTACTTAAACGATCAGAAAAAGATTAGCTTGTTATATTTTAAGAAGCGGGATTAACAGTTTGATTTTGATGAAAAAAATATTTCACAACGTTTGTATGGTCGGCCCGGTCTGGCTACACTTCGCCTTGATTTGAGATCAAGGACAATCTTCGTGGCTACTTCTGTACCCATGCGTTTAATTCCGGCGCGCGAAATCAGCCTGGTTGGGGTTGGCGCCGTGACGCTATTCCTGCTGCTTGCTATTGGTTCGTATTCACCCACTGACCCGGCCTTCAGCTACAGTGGACAAGGCGGTGAAATCAACAATCTGGTTGGTATCAGCGGCGCCTATTTTGCTGATCTGGTGTTATATCTGTTTGGCTGGTTGGCTTATACCATCCCGCTGGCGCTTACCTTCGTTGGCATTCGTTTGATCACCGCCCGTCACCAACCCCAGCACTGGCTGGCGTTGGGCATTCGTGCCAGCGGCTGGCTACTGGTTATGATCTGTGGTTGTGTGCTGCTGGCTCTGCATACGACGCCCGAACAGCACCTGCCAGAAGGCCCCGGCGGTGTTTTCGGTCAGTGGCTGGTGAGCGGTGGGCTGGCTATATTCGGATGGGTTGGCTTAACCCTGTTAAGTGCCGCGGGCGCACTCATCGGCATGCAGGCAGCGGCTGGATTTTCCTGGCTGAACGTTGCCGAAATCACCGGCAGATACCTCTACCAGGCCAGCAGCGCAGTCGTCATTTTTTACGATAAGCACTACGATGCTTACAAACAGCGTCGCGAAGAACACAAACGTCAATCACTGCAAACCCAACAACTGGTGCAGGCGCGAAAAGTTTCACTCGACAAAGATCTGGTCAAAGCTCAGCAACCGACGGCTGCAAAAGTCAAAATTGTCCCCAAAGTAGAGGAAAAAGCCGCAAAAGGGCGCGGCCAGCAGAAGCGCCTGTTCGACACCAAAACACCTGGCGAACTGCCTGACCTGGAACTTCTCGACGAAAAAGAGCCTGACACCGGATTGGGATATTCACCTGCCTCGCTGGAGGCCATGTCCAAACAGCTGGAACTTAAACTGGCTGACTTTGGTGTAGAGGCAGAAGTGGTCTCTGTATTGCCAGGGCCCGTTATCACGCGCTTTGAGCTACAGCCTGCTGCGGGTGTCAAAGTACAGAAAATCTCTGCGCTGGCGAAGGACCTGGCACGCTCTCTTGCTGTCATCAGCGTGCGTATTGTTGAAGTGATTCCCGGCAAATCCGTCGTCGGTATCGAAATTCCCAATGAACATCGTGAGATAGTTCGCTTAAAAGAAGTCCTCACCTCATCGGTTTATGCAGACGCACCATCACCCTTAACGCTGGCGCTGGGCAAAGATATTGCCGGTGCCTCGGTGGTTGCCGATATTGCAAAAATGCCCCACCTGCTGGTGGCGGGTACAACCGGTTCAGGTAAATCCGTCGGCGTTAACGCGATGATTTTGAGCATCCTGTATAAATCCACGCCTGAGCAGGTTCGCCTGATTATGGTCGACCCCAAGATGCTTGAGCTGTCGGTGTATGAAGGCATCCCGCATCTCCTGGCGCCAGTTGTCACCGACATGCGCGAAGCCGCCCATGCATTAAACTGGTGTGTTGCTGAGATGGAACGTCGCTACCGGCTCATGGCCTCATTGGGCGTTCGCAATCTGGCTGGTTTCAACAAACAGGTGCGAGACGCTAACAATCGCGGCGCGCCGATAAAAGATCCGCTGTGGAACAATGAACTTGAAGAAGCGCCGGATCTGACCACGCTGCCCGCGATTGTTGTGGTCATAGACGAGTTTGCCGACATGATGATGATTGTCGGCAAAAAAGTAGAACAGCTGATTGCGCGTATTGCGCAGAAGGCACGTGCTGCGGGCATCCACCTGATTCTGGCCACCCAACGTCCATCAGTTGATGTCATTACCGGTTTGATCAAAGCCAACATTCCTACACGCATGGGCTTCCAGGTGTCGTCCAAAATAGATTCGCGCACCATTCTCGATCAGGGCGGCGCCGAGCAACTGCTTGGTCACGGCGACATGTTATACCTGCCGCCAGGCACCGCGTTGCCGCAACGTGTGCACGGCGCCTTCGTTTCTGACGATGAAGTGCACCGCGTGGTGGAAGACTGGAAACAACGGGGCACACCAGATTATCTGGATGATATTCTCAGCGGAGAGATGGAAGGTGAACCGTTTGTGCAGCTCGATTCTGCCAACGGTGATACTGAACAGGATGATGAGCTGTATGATGAAGCTGTGCAGTTTGTGCTCGACTCCCGCCGCGCATCCATATCGTCTGTGCAACGGAAATTACGCATCGGTTATAACCGTGCAGCGCGATTGATCGAGGCCATGGAAGCCGCTGGTGTTGTTTCTTCAATGAGTTCTAATGGTAGCCGTGAAATACTTGTACCTAATCGCGATTAGCCTGCTGCTCTGGTCAACTGGGGTTGGCGCAGCAGAAACGCAGCTCTCCCAGCCCCAGCCTGCGCAACAGTTGCAGGCGCGTCTTGAGAAACTCGATGGGGTTATCGCCCGATTTGTGCAACAGGTAACCAACGTGCAAGGGTTCGTAGTTGAAGAAACCCGCGGCGTCCTGTACCTGGCAAAACCACGGTTCCGCTGGGAAGTTGAATCACCTCTGCCACAAATCATCATCGCCGACGGGGATGACATAGAAATCTACGACCCTGATCTGGAACAGGTCACTCAGCGCAACATCCAAGGCGACCTGCAACAGGCGCCGCTTGCGCTGCTGTCCTCTGGTGCAGCTCTGTTGACGGATCATTTTACCGTGAGCAGAGGGGAGCTTGATGCCGGAGGCACGCACTTTGTTTTGCGGCCCATTGCTACCGATGCGTTATTCAAGACCCTTGAACTGCAATTCAGCGGAGAATCACTCAGCGGTATCAACATTGATGACCATGCAGGACAACAAACCTTCATTCGGTTCGAACAATATCAAGCCCAGCAGGTGATACAATCCAGCGTTTTCGAACTGGATTATCCGCCGGGTACCGACTTTGTACGAGGATGAGACACAGCAAACCACGCTGGGATTAATGTCAGGGCAGGGTACGCAGGGCGAACCCCCGCTGGCAGAGCGATTGCGCCCGACATCCCTTGCTGATTTTGTTGGTCAGCAACACCTGTTAGGAAAAAACCGCGCGCTGGGTGAACTTGCTCGCCGTCAGCACATTCACTCAATGATATTGTGGGGACCGCCAGGCACCGGCAAAACCACGTTAGCGCGCTTGTTAGCCAAGGGCGCAGACGCGCGTTTTATCTCAATTTCCGCCGTACTGGCAGGCGTCAAAGAAGTCCGCGAAGCTGTTGCAACTGCCCAGCAGTATGCTGCACAGGGGCAAACGACCATTCTATTTGTCGACGAAGTACATCGATTCAACAAGGCGCAGCAGGATGCTTTTCTACCGCATGTTGAGCGGGGCACGGTCACCTTTATCGGCGCGACCACGGAAAATCCATCATTTGAGGTCAATCCGGCACTGTTATCCCGCGCACGGGTTTATGTCCTGAAATCCCTTGAAGAAGCTGACCTGGCCATTCTTTGCCAGCGTGGCGCAGATTCTCTGCAGGTGAAACTGGATGAATCGGCACAACAGCAACTGGTCAAAGCTGCCGATGGTGATGCCCGCCGCATGCTGAACGTCCTGGATATTGCCGCCCAGTTAGCCGAGGACGTCATCACCCCGGAACATATCGATACCGCTTTGGGTGACCAGGTGCGGCGTTTCGACAAAGGTGGCGATATTTTCTACGAACAGATATCTGCCCTGCACAAATCTTTACGTGGCAGCGACCCGGATGCTGCGTTGTACTGGTTCTGCCGCATGCTGGATGGCGGCGCAGACCCACGCTATCTTGGTCGCCGCCTGTTGCGCATGGCCAGTGAAGACGTCGGCAACGCAGACCCAAGAGCGTTGGAACTGACCCTGGCAGCAATCACCACGTTTGAGCGCCTGGGCAGCCCTGAAGGCGACCTTGCGCTCGCGCAGGCGGTCTTGTATCTGGCCAGCGTGCCGAAAAGTGATGCGGTATACAGCGCGTTTAACCAGGCGATGGATACCGTGCGAAACTCGCCTTCGCATTCGGTGCCAATGCACTTACGCAACGCGCCTACAAAGCTCATGCGTGGCTTGGGATTCGGAGCCGACTATCGGCATGCGCATGCTGAAGACACAAATGCAGGGGCTTTCGCCCCAGGTGAAGATTACTTTCCCGAAGAAATGGCACCGCAGCAGTTTTATTTTCCCAAAGCCGCGGGTCTAGAAAGCAAAATCAGCCAGCGTTTGCTGCAACTGCGAGAATTAAACAGCAACGCCCCACAAAGCCGACGTCAGCAGCAAGATGAAGGGGAAAATTCATCATGAATTCGCTGACGTTGTTGACAGTAGCAGCTGGTGGCGCCCTGGGCGCAATGCTCAGATTCACCATCGCCGCTTCAATCGGGGCACATCACCTGTTTCCTTGGGCCACGCTTACCATTAACATCGCCGGCTCATTTGCCATCGGCCTGGTATGGGGTGGCTTTGGACACACAGAGTGGTTTCAGAACTGGGGCCGTTTGCTGATTGTGGTTGGCATGCTGGGTGGTTTTACCACGTTTTCTGCGTTCTCACTGGAAACGCTCAGCCTGCTGAACAGCAGCAGATTCGTCCTGGCTGGCGGCTACGTTCTGGCGTCCGTGTTGGTCTGCCTGATTGCAGTTTATTTTGGAGAGAGGACAGGGCAGGCATTGTTGCCCTGAGTACAAGTTATGTTGGATATAAAAACACTCCGGGCAGACCCGCAAGCCTGTGCAAAACTTTTAGCCGTCAAAGGTTTTCAATTCGACGTAGATTATTTCCTGGAGCTGGAGAATCAACGCCGGGTCCTGCAACAAGAAAGTGAACACCTGCAGAATGAACGCAACCAGAAATCAAAAACCATTGGCCAGGCAAAAGCCCGGGGTGAGGACATCGCGCCTCTGGTCGCTGAGGTAGGCGATCTGGGCGATCGATTGGATCAGGCCAAAGAACGTTTCAACGTATTGCAGGACGAACTGCAGAGTTTCCTGCAGGCCATACCCAATACACCCGATGCTTCTGTTCCAGAAGGTACTGACGAGGATGACAATCAGGAGATTCGTCGCTGGGGAAACCTGCCCGCTTTTAATTTTGAACCTAAAGATCATGTCGCCCTGACCGAAGGCGGCAGTATGGATTTTGAAGCTGCGGCGAAGATCTCAGGGTCCCGTTATGTGGTACTTCATGGACAGCTGGCGCGATTACAGCGCGCCCTGACACAATTCATGCTCGACACGCATATCAACGAGCATGGCTATCAGGAAGTGTACGTGCCGTACATTGTTAACGCGGACAGTCTGTACGGCACCGGACAGCTGCCTAAGTTTGCACAGGATCAGTTTCGCATCGAGGGCGAGCAGGAAACTTACCTTATCCCAACCGCCGAGGTGCCGGTAACCAACCTTTACCGTGACAGCATTGTTGCTGTCGAAGAGTTACCGATCAAACATGTTTGTCATTCACCCTGTTTCAGAAGTGAAGCCGGTGCGCATGGACGAGACACCCGGGGCATGATTCGCCAGCACCAGTTCGAAAAAGTTGAAATGGTTCAGCTTGTTCAACCGGAGCAATCCTGGCAGTCATTCGATGAATTGACCCACCATGCCGAAAACATATTGAAAACTCTGGAACTACCTTTCCGCACAGTCGTACTATGTGGCGGCGACCTCGGCTTCTCGGCTACTAAAACCGTCGACCTTGAGGTTTGGTTGCCCGGTCAGGATCAGTATAGGGAAATATCATCCTGCAGCCATTTTGCCGACTTTCAGGCCCGCCGCATGCAGGCACGCTATCGTGACCCGGCAACCAACAAACCGGCTCTGCTGCACACCCTAAATGGCTCGGGCCTGGCCGTTGGACGAACAATGATTGCCGTGCTGGAAAACTATCAGGACGGTGAAGGTAAGGTTGCCGTTCCGGACTGTTTGAAACCCTATATGGGCGGTATCAGCCACATTGAACTGTAAAATGAGCCACTGATGTTCTTTTTACCGCTGTATCACAATCTTGCCGGGGCACGCTGCCTGGTTATTGGTGCTGGCACCACTGCTGTCCGAAAAATTCGCTGGTTGCTGCGCGCAGAAGCAGATATAGAAGTTATTGCACCGGATATTTCCCAAGCGATAGAAGAACTTGCCAGCGCTGGGAAACTAAAGGTAACCAAGACGGCTTTCGATGCCAGCCAGGTCAGCTCTGATCTGCGTTTGATTATCTCAGCCACCAATAACCGTGAAGTCAACAGATTCGTCTATGACGCAGCTATCCAGGCTGGTGTGCTGGTCAACTGCGTCGACCAGCCGGACCTATGTACGTTCATTTTCCCCGCGATTGTTGACCGCAGCCCGATTCTGATCGCCATCAGCAGCATGGGCAATGCGCCCACGCTGGCAAGGGTGGTACGTGGCTGGATCGAAGCTCAGTTATCACCTAACTTAGGTAAACTGGCTGAGCTGGCACAAAGTCTGCGAGATCGCGTCAAGCTCGAGTTGCCATCTGTTGACGCGCGCAAATCATTCTGGGAAACGCTGTTTCGCTCGGCTGCTGCCGAGTCTGCCATGCAGGGCAACCTGCAGGACGCAAAGACAAAAGCAGAAGCGATGTTGGCAGAAAGTGCAACTGGTGAAACCGGCGGCATACCTCAGGCCAGTGTTGCATTGATTGGCGCTGGACCTGGCGATCCGGAACTGATTACTTTAAAAGCTTTACGCCTCATTCAGAGCGCTGATGTTATTTTGTACGACAAGTTAGCAAACCCGGCGATTCTGGATTACGCACGACGGGATGCAGAGTTCGAATTTGTCGGCAAACAGGGCCCCAAACCGGGCAGTCCACCCACACGACCGGACAATCGCGGCAATCAACAGTTCAGTATTAACGACCGTATCGTTGAACATGCCCGCGCTGGTAGAAACGTTGTACGTCTAAAAGGCGGCGATCCCTTTATCTATGGGCGTGGTGGCGAGGAAATGGAACAGGTCATCGAAGCAGGCTTTGACGTCATCATGGTGCCCGGCATTACCGCTGCACTGGGCGCTGCAAGTTACGCCGGCATTCCGTTGACCTACCGCAACCTGTCTCAGTCTGTGCGCTTTGTCACCGGCCATCGCGTGGAGAATGTCATCAATCTGGACTGGCCCGAAATGGGTCGTCGCGATCAGACGCTGGTGATTTACATGGGCCTTGTTGGGCTACCGACCATTCTGGCCAAACTCATTGAACATGGCTGCGAACCTGAACGTCCTGCCGCCCTGGTGGAAAATGCTACCTGGCCAGAGCAGCGCGTTATTGTGGGCACGGTTGCAACGCTGGCAGATGCCGCACACGAGGCACAGATCAGCGGTCCAAGTGTTGTCATCATTGGTGATGTTGTTGCAAAGCGGAAAGCCTGACGCCAGCGTTACAGACAATTAGTCGGCCGAGGCAGGCCGGCCCATTTTGCAGCGGTTTTTGCCGGGCTTTCACCAAACAACTGCATCAGGTAAATACTGTTCCCAGCATCCGCGCCTAACTCGTTCCTGACCACTTTAACGAATGCACGCATCGCAGGTGATACCTGGGTTTTTTCGTAGTAATCACGCAACAGCTGCAGTACTTCAATGTGGGTTTCAAGGAGCGTCACACCCTCAGTTTCAGCAAGCCAAACAGCAACGTCGAGATCCCAGTCACTGAGATCAAGCAGAAAACCCTCTTTGTCTAATGGGATTTTCAACGCGACCAACTGACAACAGGCTTGTGCTGTACTGTCAGTTCTACCAGTTGGGCATAGGTGATACCACGCAACTCAGCGTGCGCATGAATACCACGCACATCGAGGTCCTCCTGCAATACAAAAACGTGTCGGTGTTGAAAAGCTTGTCTGGCGAGGTAGGTACCATCTCCCAGTAATACAACAACGTCTTCTGGCTTTGTCAGCCTTTGACAGGCTTGCCAGCCAGGCTTGGAAAATACCAGATGTAAACTCATGCACCTGCACCCATGACCACATCCTGCTCAGACATAAGCTCTGCCTGAGCAGATTTATCCAACAACGTCGCAGGTAAGACAAGTTCGTCTGCGTTGAGCCGTTTGTCCCGCATGGCATCTGAGCACACGAATATTGAACTGACATCGTAGTCGGGCAGGGCCAATAACACTTTCGACAGCGTACGTTGCCCCAGCGGATCTGCATTTTGCGATTTTAACAGGCTCCATAAACCGTCATCTCGAAACAGCAGGCTCACCTGCATATCAAATACTGCGGCAACCATGGCAGTTTCTAACAACTCAAGCACATGACTGTCTGCATAAGGCGGCTGGCTGATCACACACAAGAGTTTTTTCATGCCGGAAACTCTATATAACGATCGCTGTGGGCTATCGCATCAATCAGCTGACCCAGACCCACCAGTTCAAATTCAGACTGCAGGGTTGCTGCGGGTTTGTTGTATCTTTTCTGTTCAGACTCATTGATGACACCGCGCTTGAGCGCATTGGCAATACAGATAGCCAGTTCAAAAGCGTACTGTTCTTTTAACTCAAGCCAACGCTGTACAACGTCTACCTCATCCTGGGGAACTACACGGGAGTTAAGACCAGCTAGAACGCCTTCATGATAAAAGAACACCCGATTCAGTTGATGCCCCTGTTGCAGCAACGATTCACAGAAACCCAGCGCGTGGTGGTTTGCAAAACTGGCGTAGGGGGCACCATGGACGGCAACGGTGAAAATCATGATGGACGGTTCTGGTTGCGTGGGAATGTGGCGGAGGGACAGGGATTCGAACCCTGGAAGGGTGTTAACCCTTGCTGGTTTTCAAGACCAGTGCTTTCGACCGCTCAGCCATCCCTCCGAAGGGTGTGAAGTTTGACGACTTAGCCTCACGATCTCAAGGCTGTTGTGCAAAATTAGTCGCTAAATCCATTGGGGTGCTTTTTTTGCCAGCGCCAGACATCTTCACACATGCGTGCCAGATCGTACTCTGCCTGCCAGCCAAGTTCTCGCTGCGCCTTTTGAGGATCTGCGTAGGACACCGCAGCGTCTCCCTCACGCCGCTCAACAACCTCATAAGCAATGGATGTACCGCTGGCGGCTTCAAAGGCTTTTATTGCCTCCAGCACGGAATATCCGTTTCCGGTACCCAGATTAAATACGCCGAGCGTCGGTCCCTGAGCAAGGTACTGTAGCGCTTTCAAATGACCTCTAGCGAGGTCAACCACGTGAATATAGTCACGTACACCGGTACCGTCCGGCGTGTCGTAATCATCCCCAAACACACTGAGCTTATCGCGGCGCCCAACCGCGACCTGACTGATAAATGGCATCAGATTATTGGGTACATCATTTGGATCTTCGCCAATTTCACCCGATGCATGGGCGCCCACAGGATTGAAGTAACGTAAAAGCGCGATACGCCAGCTTGGATCTGACTGGTGCAAATCCATTAACGCCTGTTCAACCATCAATTTTGATCGGCCGTAGGGATTGATTGCACCTGTTGAGGTGTCTTCTTCGATGGGCATCTTCTCTGGCATACCGTACACGGTGGCTGAACTCGAAAATACCAGGGTTTTGCACTGGGCCTGTGCCATGGCTTCAATCAGCTTCAGAGTGCCATTGAGGTTAACGTCATAGTAGCGAATAGGCTCAGCAACCGACTCGCCAACAGCCTTCAAACCGGCAAAGTGCAGAACCGCATGAATATTATTTTCAGCAAACAGGTTTTTCAGTAAATCTGCATCGCGTATATCTCCTTGCACAAACGACAGAGACTTCTGGGTGATACGCTCAACCGCCTGCAGACTTTTTTCGCTGGAGTTTGACAAGTCATCCAGCACAAGCACGTTATGCCCGGCCTGCAGGAGCTCCACACACATGTGTGAGCCAATGTAGCCGGCACCCCCGGTCACCAGAATAGTTTGATCTTTGTCTTGCTGCATATAGGCCTCTAAACTTTGTAGTAAGAACGATACCAGGCGACAAAGTTGGCAATGCCTGTTTCTATCTGAGTCTGCGGCTGATAGCCCATGTCATGGACGAGGTCACTCACGTCCGCAGCTGTATCCGGCACATCACCCGGCTGCAGAGGCATTAAATTACGTATTGCTTTAATACCCAGGGCATCCTCCAACACTTCTATATAGTGCGATAGATTTACAGGATTATTGCTGCCGATATTGTATAAACGATAGGGCGCCTTTGAAGTGGCCGGGTCTGGCTTTGCCGGATTCCAGGCCTCATCAGCCTGCGCAACACGATCACACGCTCGAATAACCCCCTCAACTATATCGTCAATATAGGTGAAGTCTCTGGTGTGATTGCCATGATTAAAAACATCAATTGGTTTTCCAGCAAGGATGTTTTTAGTAAACAGAAACAAGGCCATATCCGGTCGACCCCAGGGGCCGTAAACGGTAAAAAAGCGCAATCCGGTAACTGGCAGATCAAACAGATGCGCATAGGTATGCGCCATCAGCTCATTACTTTTTTTGGTCGCCGCATACAGTGAAACAGGATGATCCACGCCGTCATGAACCGAGAATGGCATATTCGTATGAGAGCCATAAACTGAAGAGGTCGAGGCAAAAACCAGATGCTCACTACCAATGTGGCGCGCGGCCTCAAGCACATTTAAAAAGCCGGTAATATTGGCATCAATATAAGCTTGCGGGTTCTCAAGACTGTAGCGAACGCCGGCTTGAGCTGCCAAATGAACGATCCGCTGCGGTGCGGCGGATTGATAGACTTGTTTAAACGCTGTGGCATCTGCAATATCAAGTTTGTGAAAACTGAAGCCTGGCTTTTCACGCAGGCGCGCAAGGCGTGCTTTCTTCAAATTGACGTCGTAATAATCATTAAGATCGTCAATACCAATAACTTCGTCACCTCGCTCCAACAGCCTGTGCGCAGTAGTGGACCCGATAAAACCTGCAACACCGGTGATCAGCACGCGCACTAAAGTCTTCCCTCAACACTGTCTGTTGGAAGAACATGTTTGATATCGAAAACAACGTGTGCGGGTTTAGTCAACGCATTAATGCCTTCAACACCCATACGCTGGAATTCTTCGTGAGCGACCGCCAGGATAACCTCATCGTAATGTGCTGGCGTGAGGGTATCAGTCATCTTAAGATCGTATGCCTGCTGTGCTTCCGCGTCATCAACCCAGGGGTCGTAGACATCGATATCTACGTTGTATTCGCCTAATGCGCCGATCAGATCAATAACCTTAGTGTTGCGGATATCTGGACAGTTCTCTTTGAAAGCCAGTCCAAGCACCAGAACTTTTGCGCCAACCGGGTTGATCGACTTTTTGGCCATCAGTTTGATCACGCGACCCGCGATGTATTCACCCATTTGATCGTTGATACGTCTGCCCGCGAGGATGACCTCGGGGTGGTAGCCGCAGGCTTGAGCCTTGTAGGTGAGGTAGTAGGGGTCCACACCGATACAATGCCCACCCACCAATCCGGGTCTGAAAGGCAGAAAGTTCCACTTGGTGCCCGCTGCCTGCAAAACTTCTTCAGTATCGATGTCCAGGCGTTCAAAAATCATTGCCAGTTCATTGATCAACGCAATGTTGAGATCACGCTGTGTATTTTCAATCACTTTCGCCGCCTCAGCGACTCGAATGCTCGATGCTTTATGAGTGCGCGCTTGCGTGATGATGCTGGCATAGAGCTGATCAACGAAATCTGCCACATCAGGTGTGGAGCCAGACGTTACCTTGACAATGTTCACTATCCGGTGGGTTTTATCGCCGGGGTTAATCCGCTCCGGACTATAGCCGGCAAAAAAGTCCACGTTAAAAGTAAGCCCCGAAACCGCCTCAATTTCAGGGATACACACTTCTTCTGTGGCACCGGGATAAACAGTAGATTCGTAAATCACAACGTCACCCGTGCTGATCACGCTGCCGATAGCACGGCTGGCTTGGATCAACGGTCTGCAATTGGGCTGGTTGTTTTCGTCTATAGGGGTAGGCACCGTGACAATGTAGGTATTACAGGTGCGGAGCGTTTCAAGTTCGGTAGTAAAACTCAGCTGTTTTGCGCGGGCAAAATCCTGGAGATCAACTTCCTGGGTCAGATCCCGCTGATGACTCAGGTCATCAATCCTCGCCTGACTGATATCAAACCCAATCGTCGGGTATTTGCTACCAAATTCGATGGCGACAGGCAGGCCGACATAGCCGAGCCCAATGATGCCAATACGACAATCAGCTGCTGAAATTTGAAACAATGGTGTAATCCGCTACGCGCTCAAGACTGATTATGCCTCAGGACAGTGACTACTGCGCCTTATAGACATTAAAACTGCGCTACTTGTTACACTATTTACATCAAATTACAGTATCGAGTGCGCAAGATCGCTATTATGACCATTGCGTCTAACTATTAATTTCCCGAGGCAACAATGAGTACGATTGAGAAGGCAGCTGCCAAACTCGTCTCTAAAAAGAAAACTGTTCAGCCCTCGGAAAGTGTTGCCGATAAATCTGACATCCAAACCTCTGCTATCGCAGTGCAAGTCAGTGAAATAGACAATAAAACTGTCGAAAATGCAGCCCCGACCACGGTTCTCCACCAGACCTGCGAGCTCGACTTTGAAATGCTCGCTGAAAACGGTTTTCTCGTACCTGGTCACAACAATCCACAGCAATCACAGGAATTTCGGCGTATTAAACGGCCGCTGCTGTTAAACCAGCAACCGAAAATTGCCGCCGAACTGCCCCTGCCCACAAATGTGATATTTATCACCAGCGCCATGCCGGGTGAAGGCAAGACGTTTGTGTCGCTTAATCTGGCGCTGAGCCTCGCTGCCGAGCTGGACAAACGTGTACTGCTGATCGATGGCGACGCAGCAAAACAGGACCTCAGCCGCTGGATGGGCATCGCAGAGCAACCCGGTCTGGTGGACCTGCTGACCAGCGGTAAACCTTATGCAGAGAGCAGCATTATCGACACCAACGTGGAGCGCTTACAGGTCATGCCCTGCGGGAGCATGGTCGACAACCTGGATGAACTTTACGCCAGCCGTTTGATGGATACACTGCTGTCTGGTCTGGCCAGTTTCGATACAAACCGGATACTCATCGTTGATGGTCCGCCATTGATTGCCACAACGGAAGCTGCGGTGCTGGCACGACGCATGGGGCAAGTTGTCCTGGTGGTCGAAGCCAACAAAACGCCTCAATCTGCCGTTGAGCAGGCGGCAGCGCAGCTGGAAGGCTGCCAGTTAGTGAGCACATTGCTCAACAAAGCAACCGGATCAAGCAGCGCCGGATATGGCTATGGATACGGATATGGGTACGGTCAACACGCAAAGAACAGCGAGTAGCGCGCATGTATGAAGAGCATTTTCAGCTAAACCGGAAACCGTTCCAGCTGAGTCCAGACGCGCGTTTTTTCTTCCCCAGCGTTGAACACAAACGTGCCTTGTCCTTTTTGCAATACGGCTTAAATCAGGGAGACGGTTTTATTGTCATCACCGGTAACGTCGGCACCGGTAAAACAACCCTGGTGCAGGCCTTGCTGGCCGACCTGGATGATGCTGATTTATCCGTAGCAACAATCGTGACGTCGAATCTGAAAGAAGACGATCTTCTGCAGATGGTTGCGCACAGTTTTGGTGTGCCGACAGGACAAGGCAACAAAGCGGGTTTACTGCGTGATCTCGAACATAACTTTCTGCAACAGGCCAAGGCCCAGCGCCGTATTCTACTGATTGTGGATGAAGCCCAGAACCTGCCCGCGGAGTCTGTCGAAGAGTTGCGCATGCTGTCTAATTTTCAGTTTGACGGCAAACCCCTGGTGCAGATCTTCCTGCTGGGTCAGCAGGAATTCAGAACCACATTACTTTCTGAAGGTTTCGAGCAGCTGCGCCAGCGGATAATTGCCACCTATCACCTCAATCCACTTACCGAAGAAGATACACAAACCTACATTACTCATCGCCTGAGTGTTGCCGGCTGGCAGGGCCATCCAAAATTTGAAGATGACGCTTTTTCTGCGATTTATGCGTTTTGTGAAGGCGTGCCACGGCGTATCAACAACGTGTGCGATCGCTTGTTGTTGTTTGCTTATCTGGAAGATATCGACAGCATCGATAAACATGTCGTCGAAAGTGTGTCTAATGAAATCGGTTCTGAATTCTGGGGCGGCACCCCCGAACCCGCCGTTCCGACGGAAAATGCCAAACCAGCCGCGGCTGAAGTGTTTGATACACCAGAAGCACCGCTGGAAACCATGGCCCGCACCATGTTCGACAAAGCCAATGTGCAGAACAGACTGGCCGCGTTAGAACGTGCTGTTGATAGCCTTGGCCACAACATCAAACCAGAAATTGCAGACTTGCGGGAAGAACTCGGCTTTATCCGCTTGATGCTGGAAGATGTGTTACACGAAGTGCGTACTCAAAATGGCGTGGAAACACCAGGCAACAAGAAAAGTGCCTGAAGGGCTAGTGAAAATCTCTTGATTTGAAAGGTAACGCCTCTGTCTGAGCAGCCGTTTCTATCGCAGCGGTTTCATTTAGAACAGCTTCGTTCAATGACATGTCAGTGAGCATTTTTGTGGCATCTTCGACGTGGCCGGCCACCACATGAATCACCGCGCCTTCGCGCTCGACCACACCTTTGATTTTCAGCAGCTGGCCCTGCAGTAAAGCCGCTCGGTAACGTTGCAGCACAGAAGACCAGATCACAACGTTAATATTACCGGTTTCGTCTTCCAGTGTTAAAAACACCACACCGGTTGCCGTACCCGGCCGCTGTCGACCGGTAACCAATCCGGCAATACGTATCATCTGGCCCTGTCGATAGCCCAACAGTTCTTTTGCAGTGCGATATTTTTTCAAAGTCGCCTGGGTACGCAACACCTGCATAGGGTGCGGCCCCAGAGTCAGGCCGGTGTAACGATAATCATCAAGCAGATCTTCTTTAACGCTGGGTACCGGCATTACCTCCTGTTCAGCATCTGGCGTATCACACACCATGCTTGCAGCCTGCAAAGGTAGTGGGATGTGTATGCCCGCAACCTGCCAATGGGCTTGATGGCGGTGCCCACTGATTTGTTTCAGGGCACCAGCGCGCGCCAGAAAGCGCATAGCCTGATCATTTAACCCCGCCCGGCGCGCAAGGTCTGCCGCATCAGCAAAAGGCTGCTGCAGGCGGGCCTGACTGATCTGCTGTGCGGAGTCCTCATTCAACCCTTTGACCATGCGTAAACCCAGCCGCAAAGCCGCTGGACTGTGCGGAGTTTCATCCAGTGGCTCCAGGGTATGCGCCCACTGGCTGATACAGACATCAATTTCACGCACTTCAATATTATGTCGCCGGGCATCCTGAATAAGCTGCGCCGGAGAATAGAAGCCCATGGGCAGACTGTTTAGCAGGCCGCAATAAAAGGCCGCTGGCTCATGGCACTTAAGCCAGGAAGAGACGTATACCAGCAGCGCAAAACTGGCCGCATGGGATTCCGGAAAACCGTAGTCGCCAAACCCCTTGATCTGTTTAAACACACGTTGAGCAAAGGTCTTATCATGTCCCCGGGCTAACATGCCATCTACCAGTTTCTTCTCAAACACGTCCAATCCGCCGCGCTTTTTCCAGGCTGCCATCGCTCGACGCAGCTGATCTGCCTCGCCGGCGCTGAAACCCGCTGCCACCATGGCCAGCTCAATCACCTGCTCCTGAAATATGGGTATACCCAGAGTGCGTTCAAGCACCTGACGTACAGCTTCGCTGGGATAGTGTACCGGCTCAAGGCCCTGACGACGGCGTAAATAGGGGTGCACCATATCCCCCTGTATCGGCCCCGGGCGCACTATCGCCACCTCAATCACCAGATCGTAGAAATGTTGCGGTTTCAGCCGGGGCAACATGGCCATCTGTGCGCGGGATTCAACCTGGAAAACCCCAACACTGTCACCAGCCTGCAACATTTCATAGGTTTGCGGGTCTTCTGCAGGAATCTGCTCAACAGTTAAAGACGACCCGTTATAAGCATTGAGCACCTGCAGCGACTTTCGTATGGCGGTTAACATACCCAGGGCCAGCACATCAATTTTGAGCAACCCCAGGGCCTCAAGATCATCTTTATCCCATTGAATGACTGTACGTTCAGGCATCGAAGCATTTTCTACCGGTACCAGCTGCGCAAGCGGACCTCTGGAGATAACAAAGCCGCCCACGTGCTGAGACAGGTGTCTGGGGAAGCCCAGAATTTCGTTCACAAAATATAAAAACTGCTCCGCAACCAGACTCTCAGGGTCCAGGCCGGCTGCCCGCAGGCGCGCCGGGATCTCTTCCTTTTTATCCCACCAGGCCATGGATTTAGCCAGCAGGTCTGTGACATCGGCACTTAAACCCAATGCTTTACCTACATCGCGGATCGCACTGCGTGGACGGTAACAGACCAGCGTGGCGGCCAGCGCTGCACGGTCTCGACCGTAGCGTTTGTAGATGTACTGAATCACTTCTTCGCGCCGCTCGTGTTCAAAATCAACGTCTATATCCGGCGGTTCGTTACGTTCTTTGGAAACAAAACGTTCAAACAATAAGTGCATGCGGTCCGGGTCCACTTCAGTCACATGCAGGCAATAACACACCGCCGAATTAGCCGCCGAGCCACGCCCCTGACACAAAATATTCTGACTGCGGGCAAACTGCACAATGTCCTGCACGGTGAGGAAATAGTGTTCGTAGTTCAGTTCAGCAATTAACCCCAGCTCTTTATCCAGCAGCCTGTGCATATCGGCTGGTATACCTGTCGGCCAGCGCTCCAGAGCACCAGCCATGGTCAGCTGGCGCAGGTAGGTATGGGGCGTGAGGTGAGGGGGCACCAGGTCTTCGGGATATTCATAACGCAGCTCATCCATGGAAAACTGGCATCTATCAGCTATTACCATGGTTTCGGCCAACATCTCCGGCGCATAAAGTTGCTGCAGGTCAGCCAGGCTACGCAAGGTACGCTCTGCATTTGCAAAACCTCGCAGCCCAACGTCACTCACCTGAGTCTTTAACCGCACTGCAGTGAGCAGGTCCTGCAGTGGCTGACGTTCAGGTTGATGGGTATGCACATCATTGGCCGCAACAATGGGCAGGTGTAAGCGCATGGATAACGTCAGCGCGTGCGCGGTTTTATCCAGATCATGCCCATCTCTGAACAATTCAAGTGCGATCCACAGC